AAAGGCACAGAAGCTGCATGTAGTGGCACATGCCTGTAATCCTGGCTACCCGAGGCTGAAGCAGGACTATCACAGGTTTGAGGTCAACTTGGTAAGATTTTAATTTGAAAAGTAAAAAAGGCTAGAGATTAGCTTAGTGGTAGGGTGCTTGCTTACCACAAGGCATTGGGCTCAATCCAGCACTGCATGAAAAAAAAAGAGGGTACAGAGATGAAATGAGGAACAGAGTAGATACCTTTACCTTGTACTGGGGGTAGTGGCAGAACTGACTAAATGGACTAAAAATATTTTGTGACAGAAGCAACAATTGGAGTTGCAGGATATGTGTGGAAAGTCCAGAAATTAAGGTGATGCCTAGGTTTTCCTTTCTTCTGACAGTGGAAGAACAGCAATACTGCCAAGAAGTCAGAGAGATTCCGTTTATGAAGGGGAGCTAGTATTTGGTTCTGGACATTAAGTCGATATGTGTCCTAAACATATAAATGGAGACATCAAACAACCAGCGGAAACCTAAGTCTGGGACGATCTTCTTCCATGGGCCAGCAGAAGATGGTAGCTAAGTCTTAGAACGAACTAGTGAGCATTTCTGGAGAAGAGACAGTTGCCCAGGGTCCAGGTTCCCAAGGCGAAAATCCCAGTGAAGAAATAAAAACCATCTAGGAAGACTAGAAGGAGATTAGCGTGGAAAATATTCCTGAAGAGCTGGCAGGGAACTGAAGAGGTAAAGCATTTAGCTTTCCAGTAAGGCCTGAGCCTTGGTGTGGTCAGCAAGAGCAGGTGGGAAAAAGAAATTTGAGCAGAGAATTGGGGGTGGGGGGAGGGGTGTTGCCATTTATAAACATGCCGAGCATTCCCCCCTACTTATTTAATTCACACAACTCGGAGAGGAATATTACAGAGTTTTCACTTTACAAATAAAGAAACTGGGGCTAGTTGGCATGGTGAGTTGGCAGTAGGGCCAAGATTTGAATTTTACTGTAAAATACAACACATGAATAAAATGGGGCAAAGCAAATGAAACATTGAAAAGCAAGTGATCACGTGGTCATTACTAGGTCAAGAAATAGATGCCTTCCAGCCTTGAGGCAGCCCTAAATAACTTGTGGCCCAATACCTGCAGCCCATTGCACCAGGACTTGAGTCTTCATATCCTCTTTTCCTTTCATGCTTTTGTTTCTTCAACATTAAAGTTTAGTTGCATTTATTTTTTAATTTGATGTAAATACAATTAGATAGTGTGCACTGTTTTATGTCTTGCTTCTTTCATAAATTGATCTACTGGACACATAGGCTTTGCCTTTTTTTGATATACAAAGGCTTTGATATACAAAGGCTTTGCCTTTGTATAAATGGAATCACACAACATCTCCTTTGTGTTTTTATATTATTGTACATTATTCATGTTCATTACCATTGCTGAATAGAATATCATTCTGTGAATGGATCACTCATTATTTAACTATTATACCATTGGTGGATCTTTGAGCTGTTTTTCAAAAATGTATACTATTATGTGTGTCTCTTGGAGATACATAACTAAATTTCTATTGGGGATTCAGTTAGGACTGGAACTGCTGAACTACAGGGAGCAGCTCCATAGACTGTCAGTAGATAATGCCAAGTGATGTTTTCCAATTTAAATAGTTGTCATCACCCACATAAACTGGATGTATTTATCTTTTTTTTTTTTTTTTTTTTTGGTCTTTTTCCTTTTTATCGGTACCGAGGATTGAACTCACGACTGCCAGCTTGCAAGGCAGGTGCTTATGCCGCTGAGCTAAATCCCCAGCCCCTGGATGTATTTATCTTAAGAGACCTGGTAATGTTTTAGCCTGAAAGTCTGTTTTGCCTAATATTAATATGGCTATATCACCTTTCTTTTGGTTAGTATTTGCATTATTTATCTTTTCTCCTATCTTTTTTGTTTTCTACATCTCTGCATCACATATTATAAATAAATCTCTAATAAAAATAGCAAATAGTTTTTGAGTTTCTAAATGCAATCTGGCAACTTGTTTTTTTTTTTAACTGCAGCACTTAGTTTACTTACATTATATGAAAAAACTTATAAATTTGGACTCAAATCTACCATCTTATTGTGTGCTCCCTCTTTGTCTTGCTATTATCAGTAGCTAAGTTAGAAAGGAATGCACAGCTAGAGATGGACTGGGCCCTCAAGGAAGTCACCAGAAAGAATGAAGACTGTGGCTGGAGGTTCAGCTGAAGAAGCCAGGTCTCCAGATAAACACAGCCAATCCTACATGCCGCCCTAAGCGACAGTAACTTGAAAGTATAAAAGGTATCACCTGGTGCAGTAAAGTCAGCTAGGTAACAGTCACCAGGTGGGTGATCAGAGCATCCAGAACCATCTCCTCCCAAAAATGCCTTTGCTGTTTCCATGTGCACTTGCTATATGACCCATGTGCACTTGCTAAATTCTAGCTACCCTTAGAATCCTATAGGTTGGGCTGAGGATACAGCTCAGTGCAACTGTCTGCAAGTGCAAAAGTGCGAGATCATGAGTTCGATTACTGGTACAAAAAAAAATCCTACAGGTTGATTGTAGTTTGACTCATGTCACGCCTTGCTGTATAAATGACCCTCACCCTCAGTGGCACCCACTTCTGGGTCCCCTCGTAGATCTCAGGAGCTATTCCTATTCCCCAATAAAACCTTTCCTACTCATCATGTCCTTTGTCCTTTATTCTTCAATCTCAAGGGACATAAAAACATATTTGGCATCTTTGTTCTGTTTCTTTAACTTTCCTATTATGTTTTCTTTTAGTTAGTTAAAAAAAATCCATTTTTTTCCTCCTCTACTTTGGAAATTTACGGTTAATCAACGCCTCTATCTTCTTTCCAACACTCACGCAGGCGTGTAACTTACCACCACTTACTCTGAGGATGGCCTCCTAGTTGTGCGTGCTAGGAAGGCTTATCCTGCAACTGACTGCCTATCATTACTGCCCGGTTTATTCTGATTCTATGATCTAGTGATTTTTGACTCTTGCTGTGCATCACAATCATCTCAGGAGCGACTGAAGGACATGGTGCCCGACCTATTCCAGACTCTTGATTCAGGAGCCTGCATAGCACTGGCCTTGTTACCTGAACTTTGGGACATGCTCTCAGAGGTTTCACATGCCTGGCACGGCGAGACCAGAGCTGCAGTCCCTTCTCTGGAGCAGGGCTTGGGCTCTTTTAATCTGACTGGAGGAGCTGAGAAAGAGCAGTGGGTAGAGGTATGTACTGAGAAAGGTAGGTGAGAAAAGCCGAGGCAGAGCACAGCAATCACCAGATCTGTCCTGCAAAAATGCGATTAGATCTGCAGAATCAGGAGGGCATGGGGAAAGTCTCAGGCATTGGAGGGAAGAGCACAGCGTAACAATGGCATGATATTAGTTGTTTCCTAATCCAGCTATTCGGTTTTCCATTGCCTGAAAAGTTCTCACTGGGCAGATGTCCTCTTTAATCTTGCTTTCTCCTGTAGCCTACAGTTTATCAGCTCTCCCTTATCTTCAGTAGCACCACTCCTTACTTTTGTAAGAGTTCTATTAACTCCAGCAGAGTGAACAATTTCCAACTTACAGAATCAATATTCAGAGAAGCAGTAAGCATAGCACACTCTGGCAGTTCTTCTGCAGCTTTACATCCCTGTGCAAAAGTGAAGAGGCGGGGCCTGGGAGTTACTGGAGCTTAATCAGATTGGAGATGTTTGCAGCAAATGTCAGAGCCACCCATGCTCAAGAGAACCCCACCTCCTGCCTCCGCCTCATCCTGGTGGTCCCCAGGTGGCTCTGGCTCTTCTGATTCTGTCTGCCAGCTAAGACAGCTTAACCTGAATCAGGCAGCTATGCCAACACATAAAGCCCTTTTCACGTTTTTATTTTAAAACATATTGGTTGGTCTCTGGGGATTTAGCTCAGCGGCATAAGCGCCTGCCTTGCAAGTGTGTAGTTGTGAGTTTGATCCCTGGCACCCAAATAAATAAATAAATAAATAAATAAATAAATAAATAAGTTGGCTTCCAGCGTCATTCAAACAATGATGAAGCTTAATTTAGAAGTAAGAGTTCCCAAATAGATCCTCATTGTCTTTATTATAACTTAGGTTATTAATAGCCTCAATAGTTTGTACTTAACGCATGCCTTTATGTGACGACAGGTGCTTTGAAAGTGCTTTATGCTTTCTTTATATCCATATAAGCTTTATAATATACCTCACAGCTATCTGGTGAAGGTGGTATCATATCCAATGTTACTGGTGAAGGCACCAAGCTGCAGATGTGCCAGTGGGCTGATGGGCACCCTGGACCGCATGAGGGGCCATTCAACACTTTCTTTCATTACTAGGGGAATGTTCACCTAAAGCCATGGATCTCTTTCCACAGTAACTTTATTCCTCAGCTTCTCCTGAGGTCTCAAGGAACTTACTGAACTCTGTTTCTTTTCCTTTAAAAAATTCAGTCATCAGGAAAAAGTGGATGACAGAATGGATCCTGTTCACAACTGAATACTTCCTCTTTGATTCCAAAGTGAAGAGGAAGGGGTGAAAAGCCCCATTTAAGGCCACAATACCCTCCTCAAACCTAATGTGACAACAGCTAGGCACTCAAATGGCTCTCACTTTGAAGCATTTGACCTATTTTGACTTTTCAAGGGACCAAGTGATTTCTTTTAGGCCGATGCTGCCACCGTGAGCCACGTCTGACCACATAAATAAACCAGGTGACTTACAATTTACAGGAATTCATCCTGGCAAGTGTGACCGGCTGAGAGCAGTTCTGCTCACATGCCTTCCTGCTCTTTACCCCAGTGGCTTTCTCAGTGATAAGACCTGCTCTCTGTCAAGACAGAGCTTCATTTATAAACCAAAATAGGTATTTGCATTTTTTGTTTCACCAAGAAGACTTTCTACTTGCTTAAAGTGGGCAATTTGTTTGCAATCAATCATTTCAGAGTTCTGAGGTGGTCAAAGGAATGGCATCTAGCATTTCTTACCCTTCTTTTCCTCGATTATGGATAGCCAGTTCTTCACCAATTCCTTCTTCCTCCTTGAAGCTCTCCCAGTCCAATTTGGATTTCTCAAGGGTGCTCATTTTCTGCTTCTTGGCTCCAATTTTCCCCAAAAGGCTGCTCATGCCACTTGACCTTTTTAACCTTAAGGAAGAATAAAATATGAAGTATGTAGCATGCTAAAACTCTGGTCTCTTGATTGACAGCTTTTCTGATGGGCACATGATAGAAGTCATTTACCTTAATGGAAGTCATGGCTGTACCTAGCATGTTCTTTCTCAGTGTGGAGACTACTATGAACAGGTAAGAATGTTCTTTTCTTTTTTAATCTTTTTGTTTTTTTCTTTTTATCGGTACCGGAGATCGAACTCATGACTGCCTGCTTGCAAGGCAGGCGCTTATGCCACTGAGCTAAATCCCCAGCCCCCAAGAATGTTCTTTTCTTCTCCCTACCCCCTCTGTGGGGCGATCACACCCATGACCTTGGAGATACCAGGCAAGTTCCTGGCCACTGAGCTATATCCCAACTCCCTTTCCCCTTTTAAAAAATATTGAGATAGGATCTCACTAAATTGTCCAGGCTGGTCTCAAACTTGCAGTCCTCCTCCCTTAGCCTCAAGTTTCTGGGATTATAGGTGTGTACTACTATGCCTGGCTAGCAGCACGGAATTCTAATTTACTTTTTCCTGCCTGCTGTCTCTGCTCTGCTGCACTGCAGACAGGAAACACATCTCCTCCAGACTTCTGAGTGCTGGGAAGCAAGTTTCTGCTTGCAGGGCGGAAGGTGACTGGAGGGCTCAGGCAATGTTTTGGAGTCACATGATCAGGTCCAAATTCTAGCTCTGCCCCAGTGACTGGAGGCTATTTAAAGTGCATGCACCTTGGTTTCCCAATCCAATCTACAAAGTGAAATGTTTGCTCACAGGCTGTGACTTATGTTTTATGCAAAGGGCTAAAACAACACATAGCACAGGGTCAAGGTGCCATAAGTGCTGGCCACTCTGAGTCACTGTCATCATGCTCTGAAGCTCCAAGGGGTTCTTTTCAGAGTAAGAACCAGTTCCCAGCACTGATGAGCAAGTCACAGTACCATAAAAGGGCTCTAAAATCAGTTGCCTTTCAACTCCTGTGAGTTGGGGCCTGTTTTTTCCCAGGAGGTGGAGAACATTCCTCACCCTGAAAGCAGGGAATGTACAGCCCGTGCTTTACTTGCTGGTGATCCTATCATGGGTTGCAGGAGAAACCCCATATGCCCACACTCAAGTCTTGGCAGGTCAAATGTTTCTAGTCAATGTTACATGTATGAGATAAAATAAGAAAAGAGAAGGCTGCTAGTTTGTAAGAAAATAGTGTGAGTGGAAGGAATTATGGAAGGAACAAGCTTTTACTCTTTTTATGAAAGTAAAACAAGTTTTCTGCTAGGGGACTGGGAGTTAATTTCTGCCTCGAGGAAAATATGTGAAGAAGTTAAAAAACTTAAAAGCTATGAGCTAACATTACCATTTTGTTCTCTGGATGCTTTCATAGCCACCTTTTCACTGGACTTTCACTACCCTCTGGGGCAAAGAACCACTGAACTGAAATGGGATCACCTTCAAGATGACTTAATCACCAGTGTCACCTTAATCCACTCAAAAACCCAACTTATGCCCTGCGGGGAACAAACAGGCCAGTGTTCCTACTAAACAAGAGACTTCAGAGACAAAACAATTGCCCTAAACATTCTCAACCTATTAAGACTGGTCAGAGGCTGTCAAGGTCAGACATCCCACTAAACACTGAGATGAAGACCCACTAAGATTAAACCACAAAGGGATCAATCATCTTTACTACTAAGTTAGACAAACAGAAGTTCAAGACAGTTAACCAATGTAACAAAGGTCAAACCAGTTGAAAATGAAGATTAGGACCAAGCGAAGTCTCTCTGGACTCCCAGTGAGGTACACTACAAGTTGCTTGAGAGATCTTGACTGCTATTTCACTTTCCTTAACATGACTCCAGATTGTTCTTTAAGAGCTTTCAGTTCATGTCTTCTGAACACTCCTTTCTAGATAATCCATTCTCTATAACAATCTATCAACACATGTGATTTTATCATGAGCAGAGCATGAATGGGGACATGGGAATTTAATGTGCCTCCAACCTTTCACTTTCCATTTTCCTCATTACTACTGTTCTGGTTCTCATTTTGTAACTTTCACCTGGATAATTCAACAGCCTCCTTACTGGTCTCCCTGATTTAGCCCTTCTCTAAACAGCCACACCCTGGCATCTACTCACACACTATCTCTGGAGTGAATTTTTGCTTAAGCGCCTCTTCCATGATCCCTTACTACTCTTTGTTCTTACTATTGTAGGAGCCTGAGGCCTGAAACGCTTGAGAAGTCCTTCCTGTCACTCGCCAGATCTACCCTTCCCCTCTGCCCCACAGAGCCCTGAACCTGCCGTCCACCTCTACTTGTCTTTCACTTGCCCAGTCTTATCTGAGCTTAGAAAACAGTTCCTCCAGAATCCCTTGCACAGTTCTCTCTAATCTTGGGCATAGGTACCCCAGTGCTGCTGCCATTGCTCCCTGGTTCTTTTCCTATGATGGCACTGATCTTTCTGCAGTGGATGCTTAGGGACGGTCATTCAGCTGCAGCTGCCCTGACAGTTCTAAGAAAGCTCAGACTCGTCATTAACCATATCCCAATAAAAGTATCCACTGCAATGTCTTGCACTCTGAGTAAATGAAGACAATATGCAACCTATATACCCCTGTTAGCCTCTCCTGTTGACCTTTTCTGGTGGCATGGCATCCTCTGACTGCGAGTGGGCTACCGAGCACTGTCTGGAGAAGTGGTGGAGTTCATCAGTGCTACTTCTATAGGGCGACTGGCTAACTGGCCCAGCCCCTATCCTTACCCAGGCAATTCTGGGAGTTCAAATAGTTCTCAGAAGTTCTGGTGGAGCTAAACCCTCACGGCCAGGAAAATATATTTTTTAAATTGAGTGTTGTGGCACATGCCTCTAATCCCAGCTCTCTGGATGACTGAGGCAAGAAGGATTGCAAATTCAAGTCCAGCTTGCAGAACTTGAAAACAACTCACAAAATACACACACACACACATACACACACACACACAAAACAAAACAAAACAAAAAAACAAATGCTTTTTAGAACTGATTGTCGTAGCACATGTCTGTAATCCCAGCACTTGGGAGACAAAAACAAGAGGATCACAGTTTGAGGTCAGCCTGGGCTACACAGTGAATTCAACAGCTTGGAACTACGTAGTGAGACCCTGTCTCAAAAAGCCAACCAGCCAAATAAAAAAATCTAGGATTGCCCCTGCCCCATGCTAGGTGTTGAACCCAGGGGTATTCTCCCACTGAGCTACAACCCTACCCCTTTTAATTATTTATTTTGAGACAGAAATCTAAGTTGCTCAGGCTGAACTTTTTGATTCTCCTGCCTCAGCTACCTGGGATTGTAGGCATATGCCACCACTCTGGGTTGTGTTGGATTTTCTTCCTTCCTTGTCTTTTTCTTCCCATACCTCACTCTTGCTTCTCAGGATACTTCCTACATAAACTCCCTCTACTCAAATCTGTAAGTTTTGCTTTGAGGGAAACCTAGGACATTTGGAAGAATAGGTACTTGTAATTCCAAACTGGGAATCTTTCTTGCTTTTTTTTTTGGAGACAGGGTCTTACTATGTAGTACAGGATGGCCTTGAACTCACTTTATAATAGCCTAGGCTGGTCTCAAACTCATAGTCATCCTCTTGCCCAGCCTCCTAAATGCTGAGATTACAGGTGTACACCACCACACCTGGCTCAGAATGAGAAGTTCTAAGGAGACTAACTTCCATCCCCATTCTGTGTGGGCAGCACACAGGCTATGTGTACTGTCTCGCCCTCAGCCTATACCTCCGATGGTATCCTCAGGCTATGCCATTTTTCAACAAATCACTTCCTGACATCTATGAGAAGGTGGTATTTTGCTGTATAGCAGTGAGGATATTTCCAGAAAATGAAAAGTCAACAATTTCTCTTGCTTTGTTTACCACTAAGCATCAGCAGGATGTCACCTGTGCTATTATTTTTTGGAGAGGTTTCCATCTCTGCCCTCAGGGGGTCACAAACATGGTTTATGATATCCTAACTTGATAGTCTGTAAGGCAAAGTAACCTGCCTTTAATTGAGGCTAAATCAAAGTGAATAATACATTGACAGCAGCAGTCAAAACATGTAGGAGGCTCATCATAACTGAAAGACAGGTAGTTCCTTCCTAGAATCTGCTATATGAGGTCCCCCTGCACACTTCTGGGTGTTCCCCATCACTCTCCCACCTTGACACGGGCTTTTGGTGATATAGTTCTGGCATCATTCCCCCACAGCTTTCAGGAAGGTAGATTTATCATGACTTTCCTTGTCTCTGCTACGGGGGTGCATCCATCAGGCTTCCAGAAAGCCGAGGCAGACAAGAGTTGGCTTGTGGGCAGGGCTGCTGGCTCTGCTGTGGAGTATCGCAGACAGCCCTGGAGGTGTGCACGTCTCACCCCAGAACTGCAATGAGCTGGAAGGGAGGAAATCAGCACCAGTTTCCTGCAGGCACCAGCAGCTGTGCATACTAGAAAACCCAGGGGTCAGGGAGTGGTATGGCAGTGGTACGGCACTGAGTTCCCCTGGCAATCTCTCTGCTGTCATCAGAGGTCACCACAGTTCCAGATCACCAAACCAGATATGGGAAAGGGACAGGCAGAAAGTCGGCTTTGACAGGCCAAGCCCCAAACCATAGCTCTTTATCAAAGAGAATCCTTACCCACCTAATGCAAGTCCAAATCTAAAGAAACACTCTACAACATACTTGCTTACTTTCTGATTACACCCAGAATATTACACTGAGGCACACCCAGGGTATTACTGCCAATGTATCCTAATACAGTATATACAAGGTATTACACGTCCAACATCACAATATTTCAACCACATCCTCCTGAATATCACATTGTTATTTGTATAAATTTGATATAAAAAATCCTCTTCAGGAACATGGTTTTTGCTCTAACCAGCTAGCTTCTATGCCATAGGATAGCATGGCTTGATGTAGCTCATCCTCATGGAAGGAGACTTAAATTTTTTTATTAGTGCACATTGA